GCTAAGTTTTGACAACTTGTGTGTTTTCAAAACGCTGAAAATAACATTTTCACACCACACATATACAGGTGCGGTGGCAACTTTCTCGCTGCAGTTTGGGTTTTTCATAAAAATAAAAATTTATAATAACTACTCTACTTAGCTTATCAACAGATTATTCAACAAGCTACAGTTGCCCCCAACAGACCCATAGAAACTCCTGAAAATAGCATTTTTCACACCGCACATATACAGGTGCGGTGGCAGTTTTCTGGCTGCACTTTGGGTTTTTCATAAAAATAAAAATTTATAATAATTACTCTACTTAACTTATCAGCAGATTATTCAACAAGCTACAGTTGCCCCCAACAGACCCTTAGAAACTAAATATAATACTTAACATGGGAGAAAATTATGTTGTAATTATTACGTTTGTGCAATTATTTTTTCATGATTAGTTTCATTCTGTTCAGAATTTTACCGTGCAGTATTGCAAGATGTAACAGCGAGCGGCGGAAAATTTACCGCATCCGAATCCGAAGGGGAAATTAATGGCTTCATCTCCGTCGAAATACGAATGGTAACATATCGGGTGGGTTAGATATTAATATTTCGGATACGGAAAGCGATTGTTGATTTGCTGGTTCTGCAAAAAAACATTTTGGGCATGGTAACTGTCCCAACACTGCAAATAGAAATAAATTATTGTCTAACGAACTAATTTTGGCTGCAAAACTTGCTAGCATTTTTGAAGATTTGGGCGTAGGGTTGGGATTGGGATTTTAGATATCTTGTCCCCGCTCCCATTTCATTTGGTTGCAGCCTCTTTCGCCATTTGGCAGATCTTTATCATGATCTTTTTTTTATTATTTCACAAATTATAATGCAATGCAATTTTTATGTCTTTACAGATTTCACATCTAAACTTTAATTGTAACGTTTGTGACACTAAATTTTTCTATTGCACAACTAAAAGGCAGCCCGAAGTGACAGAGCATTCATGTGACTCACTTGGTTTGCAAAAATATCAACCGGGTTGATCTGCCTAGTGTTAGTTATGGCTCATATAACTGTTAAGGGACAGAGCGGAGCGGTTGAGTCTGTCCTAATGGAGGAGTTTCGTTAAGTGGGTTGAGGGTGCCCTTTGTTTGGTTTAGGGGTATTTATGTAATTTTTCATGGGTTGTATCTATATATATATAATGTATAATCCTATGGGCTTATACTTAACTTTTCTGTAGTAGTGAAATCGATACTCCCGAGGACGTAGGCTCAAATTGTCGAACCTCATAAATTCCTGTGTTCTTGTTTTCGGTTTTCTTCTTCGATTTTTTTTATTCCTTCACTTCACCCAGACATGCAAAACAAAGCTGATTTGAGACAACCAAAAATCCAAGATTAGTTGACAGAGCGTTCAGAAGAGAAATCATTTTCGAGGAACCAATTACTAGAAGTATAACAGGACCAGAAGGAGCTCAGAGACCAACTACGACCAGATTGTTACCAGAGACAAATCACTACAATTTATTTACGAAAGGCCAATTGTCTTACTAGAATGGTCAAGAAGAAGAAGATACCCATGATCTTCACTCTACAACAGAAGATATAAGTAAATTATACACTCACATATCTAAAAGTCTATTTGAACACATTTCAATCTTATTTATTCTATCTCAACTCCTCTATTTCCTCTCTTTCTTTCACTTCCTCTATCATCTCTTCTTAAAGATATTTCATTTCTTGGGTGTGATTCAACAAGTATAAATATAAAAATTAAAAATGTGATGTTAGATCTATAAATATATAGATATTGTGTGAGATGTAATTAAATTTTTCAAAATAATTAAAAAAAATCATATACCTGCCCTGAAGGAAGAATCAAAATTAAATAAAAACATGAAATAAGAAATTTGAAATTGACGCAATTGCCGGAAGGCTGCAATGGCGAATTCTGTGGGGCTAACGAATAAGTTGTGTGTGGTTCGGATGTGTTGACACTTTTCTAAGGCTCAGAATACTGACAGACGAATTGGAGGGGGGGCTAGGAAGGGCTACGTAATTAAACTTAAGGAGAAGCAAAGGCCTATCGGTAGGCCTGTCAGAAAATTATTGCAATTGATGTAATTAAGAGCTAATAATTAATATAAAGTAATAATTAATATTCTCGAACTTCCATTATCATTGTGGGGGTAAGCTCACTGTGGAAAAATTATTTTAGCCTGTGTAGAGTTATATGTGTCGTCCGATTTTTACCGTTGATTAGAATTTTTATCAATTTTTTTTTAAAAATAATTGGGTCCATCGAAATATAACTTTGGTCTGATCAACAATGAAGATCAGACGGTGCATGCATCTCTGCATACGTATGGAAATTATTATGATAGCAAAGGAATCGAAATGCTCTGCACGTTATTCATTTATTCCTTGGATTAATTAAAATTTTCTTATCTTGCTTTAACTATTTAAATAATTAATTAATACTTGATTTATAAATGAATATATTTAACTTATAATCATGAATTATATTATTTAAATTTTTTAAATAAATTTAAATAAATGATTATGATATGACCATTTAAGATATTTTATTTTGATATGGCTTTTTGAGTTAATTAATTAAAATTTAATTTTTAAGCTCAATACATTGCTCATTAAGTAATTTTGATATGGCTTTCTGAGTTAACTAATAAATGACTCAATAATGGTGTTAGTTAAATGGCCCAATACAACTCATTGGATTAGTTGATTAGTGTAAACCAAATAAATATTTTAGCATGCAGACATGAAATCTGATGCAAGAGAAAATATTACGTTTGGAGTCCGGACGTGAGCTGCGTTTGGACAATGGGCGTGATATAACGGAAGTCTGAGTGGTCTGAGCTTCTGCTTCGTTCGTTGTATCACATCTATTGTTCGGATCTAGCTTTACATCCAAATTCCAGACGCAATATTTTTTTCCTGATGCAAATATATGAATCGAGCTCTAATTTGAGCTGAATCTAGAGCAAGCTCCTCCTCAACTTGACTGAATGATCTGTGGCTCAAACTCGAACTGCAGTCATAGAGCTTTGCTCAGTTGCTGAATGATTTTATTGTAAGACTTCACATAAAAATGAAAAGATTTGATTCACCTTCTTAATAACATTTACGGGCATATAAATATTAATACGTTGTTAACATTTCTTCCATAAATTTAGTTAAAGTATTAATTTAATGATAATTAATTTAACTGCTTTAAATAACTTATTCAAACTTATTTTATGAATTGTTAGATAAATGAATTTAATTCTTAATTTAACTTGTTAGCAATGTTTAACAATCGAAGTATTAATCAAACAATAACAACATTAATTGTTACCAATTTAATTTTATAATTGATAAAACATTGTAAATAAATTTGAGTAAAATATTCTCACGTCTCATAAATTTCAGGTATATATTTGTAAATTAGTATTATGACTAATTTGTTTAATTCGGCAGGAGCATAAGTATTTATGGGGATGTTTGGCTCGCTAAAAATAAAATATAATGTAAAAGATTATGATATATTTGAAATACTTTCGAGTTAATTGATTCACTGTAAAATAAACGTAAGATTTTATTTTTTTTATTTAGTTCGAACAAAATTGAAGAAAATGTATTTCAAGATATATTTTTTTATCAGGCGAACAACATCAGACGGCTAGCGGTTGGCTGCCACGAACGGTTGCTGCGGTGAATGATGGTAGCGGATGTTGGGTGGTGGCAGACAGTGGACATGGGCGACAGATAGTGCGACAGCGGCAGGGGCCGAGACAAGAAGGTGGCAGCTTACTTGTAGCATTTTTCATGAAAAATGTAATTCAAATTCGACAAAATCAGCCGAATTCAAAAAACAACGTATTTTATATTATATTTATAATATTTGATATGAAATACATAATTTTTTTTTTAAATTCCCACAAAAAAAAGGAGCAAACTACACATTTATTCAGCCAACAGCCTAGGTAAATTTAATGGCTCGAAGCGCTCGGTAGTACTGGATCAATTATATTGTACCAGTGGCTATAGTTTTGTCTAGACATGAGCTTTGAGGAAGCTTTTAATGGAGGCTTTCGGGACCATTTCTTCACCGGAGGAACGATTTAAAATCCAAACAGGTGGTACAAAGACCTTCGTGGAGTCAGCACATGGCCGGCTCTTCCTCCCACGTGCCTCTCCTTCTTTCCCACGTGCATCACTCTTTGACTGATGTCTTTCTCCATTTTTTTTTAAATTAAAGAAAAAAATAACTTGGAAATATTTTCTTCATCAAAGTTGATCACACAGTGAGTCTATTAGGTTGGCCTCGACAAAAGAAATGATTTGTCTAGGGTTGTAAATGAGCAAGTTGAGTTTGATTTGTCTAGGGCTCGTGAGATGTATGATTGACTCGAGCTCATAAACTCATTAGGACAAACTTTGCTCATTACAATCATGTTTGCACAAGCTCGAGCTTTGGTCTAAAGCACTATTATGAGCTCTTATTTGAAAATTTTGATAAAAGCATATTAAAAATTTTACAAAATGGTAAAAAGAAAGTATTATTGTATAAGCAGTAAGATTAATTAATATAATCAAGCTAACTAGACATGCTCTATAGCCAAGTTTGGCTAAGTTCAAGCTTGTATAATAACTGAGCATGAATTTAAGTTCAAGCTTTTGGATTGATAAGCTTGAGCTCAGGCAAATATTGTATCTGAGTATGTTGAATTCTCACATTTTCATTTAAAATGAATTTAAAATGAGAGAGAGAGCGAGAGAGGGAGAGAGAGAGGGAGAGGGAGAGAGATTCCACAGAATTGGAGTTATAGGCTGTGGTCCAATCAACAGCAGCTGTAGATGGAACCTTAGAAATCTTCCGAGCTAAAACAAGGCATTAAAACATCTAAACAGAGGAAGGAAAAAAAAGTAAGTTTTCTCCCTTCCTTAAACATAGAAAAAGGAAGAAAAACCAAAAAACAAAAGAAGAAAGAATTAAAGAAAGAATCCAAAAGCAAGGTTAACTCATTCGTATTCCCCACATGCCATCTCTTATCATCACTCGGAGCAAAGCGCGGAAAAGATGGATCAAAAGTAAAAAGCTTTATGGTTTCAGCTCTACCCTTCCACATATTACATATTTGATCCTATTCCCTGCCTCGGCGGCCTTCTACACGTGATCCGCCATGGAAAGCGGAGGAGAAGAAGTCCAGCGACCGAGGTTGTAAACGTCAACACTCGTAACGCGCCGAGGAAGGGGGAAGCCATACTCGGGATGCACGCAAGAGAAAGGGATGGCTTTTGTCCTCTGTGACTGGTAAGCGAACTGCGTAGCCAGCAAGTCAAACCCACGCTTCTTAAAGAAAGCAGGGCACTCCAGCTTCTTCCTCCGTGATTAAGACGCCACCATACCTTTTTCCATCTTTCCTATCCTCTCCCTTCTTTTTTTCTTCTGGTTCGATTCCGTTTGCAGACGTTCAAGCAATAATGGAGGTGAATAAAGTTTGGATTTTTATTGTGCTCTATTTAGAGATTAGGGAATGGTTGGTGTTTTACAATGTTGGTTGCAGCACAGGAAGAGCTGGCAAGTTCCCACCTTTGGGGACTGGGATTATGGCGACCAGATGCCCATCACGCAGTATTTCGAGTCCGCGAGGCAAGCGGGGCTGGTTCGAGCTGGTTCCTTAGCGGCAAGTTATGAGGAAGATCTCTTCAATGTGCCGGTTGCGATGCCGGTGAAGTTGGCTTACCAGGACGGCCTTTATCACCGGAAGGTTATAATTTTCACTCATTCTTGATCTCCCTCTTGTTTTTTATCTATTGGATTTAGCTGATGTGGTGTTTTTCAGGTGAGGGATGAAAATGGCAGTGGAAGAGAGAAGAAGTCGTGCTCTAAGGAGCAGAAACAGAGGAAACAAGGAAGGGCCTCCGCCGCCGGAGTTGTAGGGCCGCCGAGGAAACCTATAGCCGCTCCTAAAGCGGTGGATGAGGATTTGTACAAGATTCCACCTGAGCTTCTTCGCCGGAAGCCAAAGAAAGTATATTTTCGCTATCTTTCTCATTGAATTCTGCGTCTGCTCTGTTTTCTGACTTCTGAGTTGGCTCTGCTTCTCGTTGGTTGCAGAAGACATTAGTGAGGAATTTGTTCTTAGGATGTCTGGGGCTGAACTGCGTCGCCTGAGCTCTGCTTCAGACGGCTCCATAACTCTACACCAACTGCTGTTAGCTCTGCTTCTTTCCTCTTTTTCTTAAATCTAACGTTTTATTTGAAGAATTACATTGTATGACTAGAATTATTATAAAATGATGGGGAGAATTCCTCACTTTTATGTTTCCTCTTTGTATTTTGAAGTGGAGATGATATTTCTCGCTATAAATGTGACTCCATATTGACAAAACAACCTAAGGAGCTACTTGCTCTGTCTAGCTTAGTTTCGCAATAAAATAAATATACATTTAAAATGAATTTTTTATTTTTTTTTTATTGGAATTGATTTTAATCTATTTTCTAATTGAGTTATTTACATATATCTTTTACAATTTTTATGTATTTATATATCTAGCATCTAAACTTCTATATTTATAAAATAGCATTTAAATTTTTAACTTCACATTTAAAAAAAATTATTATTGCCTATTTTTTTGAAGTAAAATATAATTTTTTATGCATAAATTTATAACGCTAGTGTTATTTCTAAGATATGTAAATATGTAAGAATTGTATGATATTTATGTAAATTACTTATCTTTGTTTATGGATGGAATTTTTTTTCACTTTAAATTCTTTAAATAGAAAATAATTTAATGAATTCAAAATAATATATGATCAATCAGGGAACTTTTATAATCGGTACACTATTAATGTATCCTATACAAAAAAATGGGAGAGAGAAGTTTTCACAAATAAATATGAATAGATAGAGATCCTGACCCTCTTAAGCAAAAAGATAAGTAGGTCTATAAACTCATTGACAACAACTCTACCCCACTTACTACATTCAGAGGAAATACTTAGCCAAATAAAATGCGTCAAACATAACTTAATTAGATGTTGACACTAATCATAAAACTGTTTCATTTTACAAATGTGACTTGTATTCTTTCAATATAAGTACGTACATATAAAAATTTAAGTGTAAAATATGTAAATGCATAAAAAATTATGCGGTACGTATGTAAATGGCCACAAAATTGTATGGTTCACATTCTAATTAGAATTTAACAAATATTAATTCAAATTAATTGAACTTATTATGGAAAAAGTTTAATATAATTTTTTAAAAATTACTCATATATTATAATAATTTAAAAAAAAATTATAATGGCTTTAACATAAGTAATCAAGTTTTGATAACACATTCCGATCTAAAAGTTTATCAAATCCAATTTCATAAATAATTGAATTGGGGAATTCATCCACTAGTTAAAAACGGCCATTGGCTCTAAATTAAATATTCTGTGTGCATAACCCATCTATAGACAACCACTCATATTCAATGTCAGTATGCACGCTCTCTCCCTACACTCTCTCTTATGAAAAAATATTACGTCAGTATTCCGAACGTAGAGCTACGTTCGAATTACAATAGTCATTGTGTTATATCAATATCCCGCTGTGTTATAGAAATATTCTCTCAGCGTTATTTGTGGTAAATAAAGTGTTATTAGAATACTCCCCCGCGTAATTTGATTCGGGGTTATGTTATTCCAGAAACCTAGTGAAAATTGAAATAACATGGGGAATACACCGAATAACAGCCTCAAATCAAGTAACACAGAGAAACATTCCAATAACACCGCAAAATAATCAAATAACACTACATAATACTTGAATAACTCTTCATTTTTTACAAATAACGCTGATGGAATATTCCTGTAACACATCAAGATATTTTTATAACACAGTGATTATTGGAATCCAAATGTACCTCTACATTCAAAGTCCTGACGAAATATGCACTCCTCTCTTGTACCAGCTCTAGGATTTATCAAAATTTAACTAACATTTTCGCTTTTGATGGTTTTGGCTAAAGTTTCAGCATTTTCATAAAACTTAATGGAAACTCCAAAAAAAAAATTTTAAAAAAAATCGTTCCATACCCTCTTTTTTGCAATTGGTTCATTGCTTTAAGAATATATGAATTTCAGAAATTGTGTGTATTTATAAAGCGTAAAAAAAGTTTGATTAGACGTAAATAAAATATATTGAAATATTATTTTTTTATATAATTGACGTGCTTTATTTTAGACACCTTGAAATAGGTCATTTGAATAGTGAAAGCTGATGACCAATACAATAATGGCAATAAAGGCTTACTGTGAGAGAGCAAGCAGGAAGTGACATATGTCGACAATGATTTAAGAGTTGAAAATCTTCTAATTTTAAATACTTTCAAACTCAATAAAAAAAAAAAGATTTAAAAGCAATTGAAATGCTCAAAACTTTACTGTATAAAACAGATTTAGGAGCATTTCGAATACATTAAACCTCACTGTACATGTCTTTCACTCAATGCCAAAATGCAATACTTTCCTGTTGCAGTAATTATGCTTTGAACGCAATTATATAATTCTATTTTGAGATGACATAAAACAAAAACATGTAATATTTCACTCCCCTCAATATATATTAAATAGTTCAGTCCCATCCCAACTATTTCTTGGACAGCATACTGAGAAACAAATTTTGGCTTGAACTTTTACGTCATTTTGATCACAAGATTGTTTGTTTTTTGCTATTGAGATTGTCCCATATGTTCCAAATTTTACTAAACAAAAAAAAAAAAACATTATAAGAAAATAATATTAGGAAATGCGCATTAAGGAACCACAAAGGCAATGAGTAAAACAAAAGAGCAAACTGAAAGAACCTTTCAAGAAAAGAAAAAATTCAAACCAAATGGGTGAAAGAACTAAAGCATGAGTGTGGATTAGTTTGTTTTCTTGGTTTTAGCTTGGAGTGATAAAGTAATGTTCTACAGCTAATAGCACTTTATGCTGCCTTAAATGCCGGATACTAAGAAAAGGAGAACTGAAATGAATAGGGTAATTAAAGAGCAGCATGTGGTGCTTAAATGCTCTTTATGGTGCCTTTTTCCATATGAAGGGGGAGCAAAAGTCGCTCATTTCATTCAATTAATTTGATTTCAAATTTTTAAAGTAACCACATAGACGCATATTGCTCCAAGTTCGAAGTTTATTTGATACTTGCTCAAACTAAAGAATTTGCTTCTATTGAAGAATATTTATCTTCTTCTTTTTTTTTTCAAACCTACATACACTAAATGATAAAACCCAAATTTCAGCTTGTGTATCATGATGTACAAAGTCTACTTTTGGAGATGTCAAATTTGAAGTATGGAAGGGAATAGAACTCATGTGTGCTAAAAGATTCATGTCAGTGGAGTATAGATTACCCTCTTAGCGTTGCACAAAGATTCAGCACACATTCAAATAAAAAAAAAAATAACCAGTAGACACTGGAAGTTTTTACACGGAAAACCAATAAAGAGATGAACCACGGGACCTGACTAAGCTGAAGAGTTTCGCTATCAAAATATGACTGCAGTTGCAACCATTTCTCTGTGGGAATGGGTTACTATGTTTCCCAAGTTACAATGTCGACTTGCTGATGAATTTGTTTCTATGAACATACGACAATCGATAGAAATTGGCGGCGTTCAGTCGATCGTGGTCGACGATGGTTGTGGTGATCGACGGCAGACGGTAGTCGACGATCGGCGGTGGTCGCCGAAGATTAGCGATGATAAAAAACGGTCGGCGGTGGTCGTGGAAAATCAGTGATGGTTGACAACAATCAACAATGGTCGACGACTATCAACAAAAATCAACGACAGTCGGCGGTGATCGACAAAATTCTGTGGTGGTCGACGTCAGTCAGCGGTGTAGGTGCTGGACTTCAACTACTTCTCAAGGCTTCAAGTTCTTCCTCAAGCTCCAAATTCTCCTCCTCATGAGAGGGGGTGAAGCTCTATTTACACAATTTCTAATACAACTAATGCTTGAATATGAACCATTTCATCAGACGGCTCAAAGAGCATCTCTTGGTCAGTTGACGTTTAATGGACGTTTGAGTGTCTTAATGATGTCGAAATTGAGCGATCATGAGCTCGTTGGATTCTTTTGTCGAGACGCTCGAATCGACTATAAGCTTATCAAACTCGACATCATTTAACCATCCAGATGTATCTAGAAAAATTCCAAAAAAGGATTTAATGACTTGATCGAGGCTCAATTTGGTTTAGATTGAATTAATTTTGATACCATTGGGTCCGTGTTATCGAGCTGGTCAGTTTCACTATAAATTTGATGAAATCGAAGCAATGGATAACTTTTTATTGATGTTTAAATATTTTACTCAAAAAGTTACTTCAAGATCCGTGCTATGCCCGGCAAATAATAGGAATGGGCCATGACGTATCAAGAACCTCATGCTCTACCGCCATACAAACAAAGATTTTAACAACCAATAAGCCAACGCATAATTCATGATAAGCCAATGCATAATTCATGAAAAGTGGTGTTACTACTACAACACCTAACTGAAATATTAGGATTCAAAATCAACTAAAAGAAATAGTATACTTATAGGAAGCCAAATTAAATTGATTTGAATTGACTTTAAGCAGTCAATATTCATAAATTAAACTTAAGCTGTCAGTATCGCTCCTAATTGACACCAGATCTTTGCTTTAATAGCTCGCATCCATAATCTAAATGATGAACTGACAATTAAGTTCTTAAGCAAACCCACAACTCCAACAAATTTGAAGTAAATCTGTCAATAATAAATTACTAATATCATTCTTTGACAACAAATCCTGCTAAAATTACTACAGATCAAATTTAAAGCATATAAGCAAATCTGGTAAACTTTTCTAATTCATTCCCAGCAAGAATCCCATATTATTAGTTTTGATAGAAAATGACCATCTATCCAATATAGTAAACTAACGATCATGTTTTAGAACATACCTGCTAAGCTAATAAATTGCTATTTCCGCACCAAACAAAGCCAATATTACGCAAAACTCAGGCACCTTTTTCCAATTAATTAGCTTTGGCACCCAAAAATAATAATAATAAAAAACCTTCAATTTTTGAAGCAGGCGTAGTAACGTTGTAACATTTACAGAAAATTCAAATTTTACCCACACCAATAGAAGAAAACAAAATTCAAAACGATCAAAATGTACTGAGAGTCAAATAAGCTAGGAATAGAAAGAGCAATGTTACTCATAATTAATTACCCCTCATAAGGATACAAATCTCATCCTCATTAATATCCTACTTATAGAAAAAGGGTAACTTCATAAAGCATAATGATACTACACAATGGGAAAAAAAAAGCTCACTGAAACCGATTAAACAAAACAAAATATAAAAAACGAATAGCTTTGAAATGTGTTCCGACCAACCTTGTCCACGAATTAATCGAACAAGCTGAAGCCCATGTCCTACACAAAAAAAAAATTAGAAATTTGATTTTATCAGCATTATATTTTTTACAAAGTAAAAAACTGTGGTACACGACACATTCTCTAGATATTCATCCAATATTTCAAATAAAAAATTAGAAGCAATTAATTTGTTGATGAGCAACATGCCATAGTGCAATAGAGAAATCTACCATCTTGAAAACAAATTGAATAGAACACATTCATGGGAAAAATAAGGGAAATTTTACTGAAGTAGCATATAAGTCTCATATATTTACATATCTCACATCAAGCTTTCATATTTCCATACAAAGCACTTTCGTGCTTTAACTATGCATGAAAATGTGTATTTCATATTTAGAAAATGATAATAGTGTTATTTTTGATGTGATATTAAAGATTTTAATACTGTGTGTAAATATGAAAATTCAAGCGTGAGATGGATATACATAAGGGCTATGCATGTAAATTCCCCAAAAATAGAGCAGCATTTGCATCATAAAAAGAACCACGGTTCATAAACTAGCTAAAAACATAAGATCTCTTACATCATCAGACTCTTCTTTTTCTTCCACTTTCTCTTCTTTTTTAGGTTCAGCGGCTGCAGGAGCAACAGCACCACCGGCGCCGCTGCCGACAGAAGTAGCAACTGCAACAGCACCACCACCACCACCTGCAGGCACAGAAGCCAATTTCTCCCTTCCAGAAGCAATAAGTTCAGTAATGTCCTTGCCTTTAACTTCAGATAACAGGAATTCAATCCTCCCATCATCAGCTTCAGCACCGACTGTAGGATAAGTAACAAAATTACTTCAATTAAACATAAGAGAGCTCGATATGATACACCAAAATACATTTTGAACTGTACTAATCACCATTCATATCCTGAACTAAATAACGATGATGGAGGTTTAATAATAGTTAAACTATTACAATGGTAGTAGATCATCTCCACAAATATAATCCCATTCTTTTGGAGATCAAGCCTAGCATATCAGGGCTGTGAGAGAATCAATATTCGTGCCATTAAAAAAAGATCAAAAAATAACATTTCATGTTGCTGATTTTTTTAGTGAAAAACTGGGTGTACCACTCTTCTCAATAATAAAAACAAAATACAAAAAAGAAGTCACTGTTATAGGCAAAAAGCATCACAGTTCAAAAAAATAAAAATAAAAGAAAAATAAAATCTCAAGTAGTACCAAAGAAAAAGTTCCAATGGTATAGACATATATAGATGGTAAGAAAATCTCACTAATCCTGAGAGCATTTTCTTTCTTTAGCATTGTTGATCCAAAATTAGAAGAGAACTATAATTTCAAATCCAAGGAGCTTCAGCTCCCCCCTCTTTATTAGAAAAACACATAATATTTCTTTTACTCTAAATGATATTATGGAAATGAAGAAAAATATTGAAGAGTTCTTGGAAGCCTTTCTTGATGAAATCAATATTTCCAGTTGCCAAAAAAATAAATAAATAAATAAAAGAAAATAAAATAAAACAAAGTTATCAACAAGAGCGTCAATACAAAGAAATTTAATGAACTCTCCTCTAAATATTGGAAATAACGTAGCAACAAAAGAAGATATGAAAGCCAGCATTTAATTTTTCTAAATATTGGAAATAATGTAGCAACAAAAGAATATATGAAAGTCAGCCTTTGATTTGACATCCTACATTGGATGATGGCTTTTTTAAACAAGTAAATCTGGTTAGAACTTTTTATCATATTAACAATCTAACCGAATATTGTTGCTTTCCAATGATTAATGGAACGCAATCCATCAAGATTGAATAATTAGGATATAAATCATTTGTTGGAAGAAACAAACTATATATGTAGTAATTTGTCAAAAATGAAAGGATTGATGAGACCAAAAAAGGTTCATGTGCATTATAAAAAACCCTCCTGATGACTCCAAGAAGCAACAACGATTAGAAGAAAACAGGCGTACAAAAATTGCACATTAAAATAGAAACAAATATCATGAGTAGAAGTTAGTAGTCTTAAATATAGATATCTCAATGGAATTAAAAAAAAAAATTACCTGATTCTAGGATAAACTTTACATCATGAGCAGATGGATTACTGTTTCCACCAAGAACAGCAAGCAAATAAGCAGCAATCACCTTCATTCTGAAAAAAAATAAAAAATAAAAAAGAGAATATCAGCTCCATTTTATTCATGTCGCATGTCATTAAGATGTGTTGATTCTATTTAAAGAAACATTTTTACAGAATTTCTAGAAAAATTATTTCTGCTCTACCCAACCTTCCTACTATAACATTGTTACATTTATTCTATCTATTTGCATCCATGCAACATTTGCGAATAGCTTAGCAGAAAGCACAAAAATCTTCAGTTTCAATATCTTTGATTCTTTAATAATATCTTCATGAATAATGCAGAAGGATGTCAACAGTGAACCTATGCTTTCTTCTATATGATCTACATTCATAAGCTCTTGTCACCCCAAAATTCCTTATAATGTTAGCCATTGACTTAAAGATTGTATTTTCATAATAACTCCAACATACTTTGATCACACAAATTCTCACCATTTTGTTCCAAATTAATCATCAATCTTTGATCATGTCATTTAGAAATCAATAAAGCATATCTGAATATTCTCTATGTGCTTTTATTTTTTTACTAACTCCTTAGCAAGAAAAATTAATAATAATGTATATTAATTTTATCAGACCAAACTAATTATCCAATATGGATATAAATTTTCATTCTCTATCTTCTATCGCCTTCTAACATGGCTGTATGGCTTAGATTTTGTTCGTTTCAACACAAGTGTTTGAAAGTGACGAGTTCCATTTTTGAAGATTTGGTCAGCACCTTCATTTTATTTTCTTTTGAATAAATTAATAATATGAAAAAAATTAAGATAATTTAGGCTAGAAAATTAATTATATGAAAAATAATAATTAAAAAAGGATCATGGGAAAAAAAAACCCATTATAATCCAAACAAAAACTGAAGGAAGAAATAAGTGCATGCAAAACAAACAAAATCATTAAAACTCACTTAAATGAAATCCACTCGTCAGAAGCAGCTTTAAACACTTATATAGAGCCTTCAAAACTAACTAAATTATTTGTTAAACATTACTAGTTACAAAATTTTTCTTCCTCAATCATTTAAAAGCCTTTTAAATTTGAAATTTTATTAAAAAATTATTTTATGAATTAAACTATTCAATCATCCCAACTCTCAAGGTTCCAACTAGTATAATGTTTTACGATCATGCATCTTGACATTAACTCAGTTTCATTTATTTAGAGTCAATGTAATTTATGATTCATTGGCATGTTCATTTTTTCTCTGACTAGAAGAGCTTTTTATCAAAATCACTTAATATTTTTTCAAAATAATTTTATCATCTCTTTGGATGTTTTCATCATTACATGACAAAAAAAAATACTTCTACTCTTAATAAAATTGAGAAAAATCAAAGTCTCAAAAACTAGCTTCTTTTAACCTAGTCATTTTCTATAATAATTTTGCTTTACCAGCGCTTAGCTTCCTATATAAATAACAAAGAGTTGTAACGTCTGCTTTAAAACATCTTTGCAAAATCTTTGGGCTATTTATAAGCTATAGGCTTTCCACTCTTTCTCTCTCTTTTGTCAGTCTTTAATGGCGTATTTCTTACCCTTTATAATCTTTTGTAATTTATCAACACATCACCAAGTCTCCTTGTATATAATCTAGTTCTATGCTTTGACAAATAAAATCCAATTTATCACATATCAAACATGATTCAACTTCAAAGTTCAAATTAGACAAAACTAAAAAACTATGTTTGAACATTAACAAGCTTTCACTTTTTAAGTTACAGCATGGGGAAATTATTTCCTCAGATATGTGAAACACAATGAATAGAGATTTTTTACTAAAGTCCATCAAAAAATAGTGATTTGAGCATATTGGTAACATTGCTCTCAATATGCCAACTGGTTCTATCATTGATCAATATAACGTTTGGAAATAAAACCATATGACCATTCTGTTATGAAGATATCATTAAATAAATTATTACAAATCAGAACATTAATCTCAAAAAAGACTACTGATTAGGGTCATAATCAAGAAAAACAATTCTATTAATACACCTAGTAAATTTCAATAGTAAATTAGTTAAATTGCAATTATCTCTAAAATAAAAATAATTCTATATTGATTTTAATGGCCAACTTGAGAAGATGGAGAGATTAGACGCAGACCAAGCGGTGCGGGGTCCAATACTTTCCCTATTTTCCACCTCTTCACCTGGAGTGGCGTTGAGTCAGATGATTCACCATCCTCTTCAATGTGAGGCAGCTTATCGGTCGGTTGTCTCTTGGTTGCATCAATTCGACTGGCCTCTTTTCACCAATCGTTCTGTTTTCGTCTCCCTCCTTTTTCTCTAATGGATGTGATTGTCCACCGACCTTTTTCTTAAGAAGTGGGCGGGAACTGTCCAATTTTCTTTTTCACCCCCTGCAAGCCGGGTTATAAAAATAGGAAATCCAAAAGCCTTCTTTAAGGCTTCCTTATTTACTGGTTTTTTTTTGTACCAATACTTTCCCTATTCTCCACCTCCTCACTTGGAGTGGTGTTGAGTCAGATGATTCACCATCCTCTTCAATGCGAGACAGCTTATCGGTCGGTTGTCAACAAGGTTGCATCGATTTGACCAACCACTTTTCACTAATCGTTCTGTTTTACCCTCCCACATTTTTCTCTAATGGATGTGATTCTCCACTGACTTTTTCTTAAGAAGTGGACGAGAACTGTCCAATTTTCTTTTTCATCCCCTGCAAGCCGGTTATAGAAATAGGAAATCCAAAAGCCTTCTTTAAAGCTTCCTCATTTACTGGTTTTTTAGTACCCTACATGTTCGTTCACCTGGACAATCGACTCACAGGAAGAGGATGTTGAAGATGGGAAAAAGATAAAACGCACTCAGAAAAGAAAAAAAGAAAAGTTGCACAGAAATCAATGGAATATAAATTATTATGATATTAATTACACATATGTAAATGGTTATAACATTTAATTTTCTTATTCTTCTGACAGCTCTCTTTTACTGATATTTAATTATTATGACATTTAATCCAAAAGCCTTCTTTAAGGCTTCCTCGTTTACTGGTTTTTGGGTACCCTATATGTTCGTTCACCTGGACGATCAACTCACAGGAAGAGGATGTCGAAGATGGGAAAAAGATAAAACGCACTCGGAAAAGAAAAAAATGGAAGTTGCACAGAAATCAATAGAATATAAATTATTATGATATTAATTACACATTATGTGAATGGTTATGACATTTAATTCTCTTATTCTTCTGGCAACTCTCACCCTCAAAAGAAGTAAAAAAAATCGAGAAACTAATTGCTAATTATGTACATAAAAAATGTGCCTACATGAATCTCGATGAGAAATAATTGGAAATATAAAGAACATAGATTGTTCATGTGAACAATCGGTCGGTCTCAGGGAATAATTGAATGAGAAGGGCAAACGACCCAACGAGCGTCACCGATTACCCAGCAGTTGTCATCTTGAAAATTAGTTGTTTTCCAAAAGGAGGTACTTCAATATAGACACATCGACCGAAAGTAGGCTGCTTGTCGGATTACGGTGATTTACCCTCTGCCATATGAAATAATCTTATCCTAGGACGATATATCACCACATTTGGTGTACACAAAATGGGTGGTTGAAGATAATTGAAGACGGTTGAATGATGTTTTGTAAGTCGAACAAGTCCCGGCCAACCAAATTAACTCCAAGTAACCAAATTGGACAGTTACAAATATGAAGCAATGTTCAAACCAGTTACAGAAGCATCACAACACCAGCATCGATTATGGGGTCGGTTTTAATGATATTCAATTACAAATGTATAAATGTAACAGCTCATTAATTATAATAATGTTCCTCTTTTTAATATGGGATGACCATGTAACTTATAAATCTGACCTATGAACTACAAATAGAGGGATCATTTTTTCAAAAAATGATAGAGGATTGTCATAAAAGAAAACAAAAATCAAATATTCAACTCTTTCTTCTTCTTCTTTTTAATCCTAATAACGCTCTATAACTTAGTGTGATCCACTGAACAATTTGGGATACAACATTTAGGGATCTGCTTGATTTCAGCCATTTATTTATTCAAAAGTTCAAATTAAAGTAATAAAGAAACTAGAGTGAAAGTTAATATTTATTGATTTTCAAATAACCACCACTAAAACAGCTATTTAATACTGTAAATTAAATAAAAAATAATAATAGGCCTTCCTATACCCCATTTTCTGTCAACTAGAGCTTCTCTTACCCCACCTAAAGAACCATTGCACGAGCCTCAGTTGTTTCATCTACCTACGATAAATACTTCTTCCTACAGCAAACTCACTAGCAGCAGAATCTAGCTTGCTCTTGACTCCCATCATTCCCCTTGCTAACGACCTTATGGGTGTCTTCATTCAAATATTTAATAATTCAGAAGAAAATGATCACAACAACAGGACTGATGAATCCAGCTGAACAATTACATGGTTCCACTTCCCATTAAAAATGAAAAAAAAAATGATGGCCGAGAAAACTGTTTGATAATAAGAATCTCGGAGCTAGAAATTGCATTAACTTCGAAATAATAGAAAATCATGGATTGATACCAGATTAGTGGCACGTTATTTGATACCAAAACATGCAACGCAAATCATTTTAATAGAGCCATCATCAAGAAAGCCATTCGAAAGAAAAAATACGGAAGACGAGAAAATAAACTTGAGAAGAGATTCAAAAAAAAGGCACAGAACAGCATCTGTAATAAATTCAAGAGGAGAGGAAAGATAGTAACAGAGGAAACATTACTTGGAGATTCTGAGACAGAAACAGCCCAGCCGCCGCGCAGGGAGATACAGAAGGTTTTTAGGGCTTTTTGGAATTGAAATGCGTTGGGTTTATTATATAATTTACAGGTAGTCAACAGTCATAATTCTGTCAACCCTTGCGAATCCACCGTCAGAATTAGATCAAGCGGTCTAACGACGATTGGCTGAAGACCTCCGGCCCACCAGCTTGGGTTTAGGTCTGCATTTTGGAAAATATTTGACTAATTAAGACTTACGTAGCGCTGCGTATGTAGAGAGATTATTTAGAGTGTATACGGAGATTATATCCGCATTATATCCCCTGTAATTTCACTGTAATCTATAAATAAGTTTCGCGCTTATGTAGTTTCGGTAGGTACAAGTAAGTTACAGGGATGTTACATAGAGTATAATGCGGATATAACCCCCATGTACTCTCTGAATAACCTCCGACGTACGCAGCACTGCGTATGTCTTACGTAAGCAAATATTTTCTCTGCATTTCGCATTTGAATCCATCTTTCAAACGAACTCTATTATACATATAAAAAAAAGGTGAGTTTTGAATATTTAATTGCACTTATACATTTCTGAAATATTGATATATGGGTCCAATTTGGCCCTGTGATTGCTTTCTAATAAGATGTTATTAATTATGATAAACGTATGACCAAAAGTGCATTAGACTACCCTGAAACCATTGTCAGCCAGCTTGTTGGGCATACACTATTTTTTCGAAGTCGAATAGTAAAAGACTGCTAAGATGGTCCGAAAGATTCGCATGAAAAATACGCTTAACATCATGGTTAAGGTGAATTCATTAATATACTCCTTTGACTTAATCGAACAAACAAACTGACCAAATCATTGATGCGTCAACTAGGCTAACAATGGCATTATTGAGGTCAATCAACCAAAAAAATTTTTATTTCATCATTCATTATGCAATAAATTATGCAATAAATGGCTTTTTTTTAAAAAAAATTATGCAACTAAAAATCATGCTTGTTCAGGCTTTTTTTTAAAAAAAAATTATGCAACTAAAAATCATGCTTGTTCAAGTTAATTGCATATAACATAAATTTTCAGGTCAAATTTTTGAGCTTTTTTCAAACAAAAGTATGCCTTTGATATGTGTCACCAAGAATTTTAGATAATCAAGCATGAATCACGATGAGTTTTGGGTAAGATATCTTTCAAATTCAAATTTAGGTTCATTTAAGATCGGATTTTAACAAATTTATTTCTCGACTATACAAATCTTTTGACATTGACAGCGATCCAATTTGAATCCAAATAAACTCAAATCAAACACATGAAGTATAATTAAAGATTTTGGTGTTTTTATTCAAAGGTCAAATAATTTTAAATTTGGCATGCAAATAGTCAAATCAAGCAGCTTTATGAGAAGAATTCAATGAGCCTAAAATAATTTAATTTTAATGTTATATAGTCAATTAAATGCTTAAAAAATGTGATTAACGATATTGAGAAAGATCGTCCAATTAAGTGTTTTAAGAGGTTAGCCAAATCTACCAAAATGACACAATTAAAAGTATAAATAAACCCACAATTTTCATAATAGTCAACAATAACTATTTTATCAACCAGCTAAATTCATTGTAGTCAAACTATGACTATTGTAGCCAAAATTTTACTTTATAGCTGTTATTCTTAGTTTTTATAATCCCAACTTTCCCAATTGAGAAGAAAGTAAACCTTGGTAATTTTAAATTTCCAGTGGATTATTTTATCTAGGTTAAGCCCCATACCCCTTTACAGAATTTTTTCACGTAAAAACAGCAAATTGTCTCATGCATTTCTACATGTGTGTGTATGCTAGAAAATTATATTAAGCTAAGCATAAGATTTTTCTACTGTTAATATTATCAAATATGTAACATGACTGATTATTTTTTTTTAACTTAAGCATCTGATAATTCCTCAAGGCTTTAAAAGAGTATTCAGTTCCCTCTCTCTCTCTCTCTCTCTCTCATCACAATCTTTTTGAGAAAATTATTCAAAATTTAACATGATCTTCTCCTCCTCCTTTTTATTAGAGAATACATTTTATTTTATATTCTGCTAGTTATCTTATTTTATCCTTTGTCATATATTAAGCAATACATGTATCAGTATTTCATCACCCATTAAATATATATTATTTTTTTGTCCAAACTCCCAACCAAATGAATCCTATAACTAGCGTTTGTGCTTGTGTTTATTGTTTTTTTGTTACATCCATATGCATAAAGTTAGTTTTTTTTTATAAAGATATTATTATATTTTTTTTAGCTTTTCTTAAATTAATCATATTGCACTATTTAACACTCTTGAAAGGAATTAATATAGGCATTTTATTACAACATACTAATATTACAATTGCCTAATTGAACTTAGGTGATGGATTTCATCAAAGTCTTATGTTAGTAATATCGAATATGAATATGAGATACTTAATGAAAATAATGATTTTAACATCTTAAAAATAAAAAAACAATGTTTTGTTGTCTATACAAGTGCTACAAAATATAATTTATGAGCATCGAGATATTCCATCATACAGGCCTTAGATCATTAAATCTTAGTTTAGGCGGTCATTTCAAAATAAGGTAGATCAAAGTACCATTAATATTTAAGTGAACGGATAGAATCTCGTAAAATGACGAGACCACTCATCAACTATCTTTACTATATATATATATATAAATATATATATAGTTTGGGAAAGCATTTATATACATATCATTATTTGTTTTGATGATAACAACTTTTTTGTGGTGCCAACTAATGCTAAATGTTATCTTTTAGCATTATTATTTTCTAACATTCTGTTGAACCTAGATTTATCTACGACTCACAACCAAGGAATAGAGTGTAAAAGGAGAAAAGGGGGTGGGCGGTTGAAGTGATTCAAATAATCATCTCTATTTCAGGTTTCAACTCCCTATTTATATTTAATGCTCCCTTTATTTCTAGGAGGCTTGAATTTTTGTGAAATGATGCTTATACCCCTAATCCTCATTAATCAACTAACTTCTGATCATTTAGTTTTAGGTCAATCGGCTTTCAATTAACTGACATTTGTCAGATCTTCTTCTTGTCATTTAGCCAACGATCGATCGGCCTCTGGTTTGATTGGCCTCTGATCAGTTGGCCTTTAATCTATCAGCCTTTGATCTGTTGGTTGCTTGCTTGACCTCTCATCGGTCAATTGTTATCATTCAATTATCTCGACTTCAGGTACCTTTATCTTGCTTTCATGAGATCCATCTTTTGACGTGTGTTTTGTTCTAAACCATCGAATCCACAAAAAATTCAGTTAAGTGTATTTTTGTTGTGCATATTTAGTTTTCTAATTCTTTCATATCTTAGTAGTTTGTGATGCAATAAAAAAAAGTGAATTTAATATAATAAATGATTAATTATTTTTTAAATGAACTCAATGATTAATACTCCCTTGATTTTTGAGCTACTGATTATTATAAATAGGATCTAAAGAAGTCTCATTAGATTTGTCTACTTCGTGCTCTCATTTCCTTCATCAATTGCTCTGCTTCGTGTGTGCTTTCATTATACATTTCCGAGTTGCTCACCCTTCAACTTCGTAGGAGCTCACAATGAACAAACTTATGAAGTCCCAAACTAACATCCTAGATGAAATCTTGATCCACAAGTTGCTTTAGGATTAGAAATGTAAAAAGTGTGGCAAATGAAGGGAAAAAATTATGAAGAAAAAAGGATGATGTATCTTTGAGTTGAGTGGGCTTTTCCGGGAGAACCCAAGAGATACATAAACTGTTGTCGCTACTCAAGACCCGACCATTCGACCTATCACTATGACACATGGTCAGACGGACGGTCAAATCACTTAGGCAAATAATTGGGTTCTCTCATTGCAATAAGAAGCCCACCAAAGGAGTCGACAGTGGCACAATTAATAAAAGTTCTAGGTGCTTGGGTTCCTTGACCAGCAATTAACTTCTTTTGCCCAAAAATCTAATATTTTGGGTCTTTCATGTTGCAATTGCTTCAGCTCAACTAAACTTGAACAAAGCTTCAATTATGTCGCTAGAGGATGAAAACGGGGTGAAAAATGGAGATTGTCGGCCTGTCAATGAGGATGAGAGAGTCGACCGCCCCAGAGATCTTCCACCCCTTCATAGATGAGATCAAGTGTTAATTTGCATGTGAGGCTAACATATAACAGAGTTAAGAGATGTATGCCTTATCGTTTAATGTAATGAAGCTTAAAGAGGAGGTTGATGTGATGAAGCAGATGATGAACACCCTTCATTGGGAGATTGCATATCTTTAAGAGAGATTTTGGGTCTCTCATCGAAGGCTGCTTGGGTTGTGTAATACCTCGACCAAAGTTGCCTACCCTTGCATAGGCTACTTTTTTTTTTACCAAGTCAAGGTGAGGGATTATTGTAATAATTTTATTTTATTTAAATAATAAGTTTTATTTGGCTCATCGATAGGCTAGGTGAGTTTGGTAAAAATGTTGAACTTCTGATGGTCATTTCCAGTTCCAACCTCTCACGATGATTGGGGTTCTCTCTGATTCTATAAAAGGTTCTTTGATGGCAACAAACACACTTTGTTTATCATTTTCCTTCATAGTTCTCCTTATAGCCGACACATGCTTCACCGTTGCTACTTTCTAATGGAGTTCATGATATCCAACCTCTTTAACTCATCAAAGTTGAACAAGAATGAGATTAGAGAATATATGGATAGCCAAGTCTTCAACCATTTCATCCGCCTTTAGGTTGCCGACAAGGCGGAAAGAGGGAAAGCCTTAAGCAAGGGCGAGGGGCGAGTTTGTGAATTTTAAGGTTCAGTTTTGGTTTGGCCTTTGACTCCTGTTATGTGAGGAGTTACATGCTATTTTCAATTTTCATGGGATCAACCCAACATAGATGATGTCGAACTCGATCGTCGTGATAATAAAATTTATAATATTCGTGCACCAGATGGGATTACATGGTCAATCAAGATCTTCAACCACCTATTCATCATGTAGGCGAGATTCATTATGTTCCTGTCCATGGGTCAATTTCATTTCAGG